GGATTCGAACCCGCCACCTTAGGTGTACGTGGCTGGCGCCTTAGCCCGTTGAGCTATAGGCGCTGAGCCGTTAACATTTTTTCTACCTGACGCAGAGAATAATTTGTAATTTGTTAAGTAAACTTATAAATAAATAATTCAATCAACATTTTAAGCGGCTAGGAACCACTCATCAATTTCCAGCTCCCAAGTTTCAGTTTTCCTCTTGGGCTCGGTTTAGGAGGGGCCGCCTCGGGCTGAGAAAGACTCATTTTCTAACTCGCACAGCTGCCCGGTGACTGCACAGTTAGTCAGTGGGGGCCACCGCCCTAGCAGAAGAGCTGTCCCCAGAGATTCCGGAGCTGGGCGCGCAGGGGCGCCCGCGAAGGAGCCTGCGTTACCTCGGCCTCGGCGAAGGAGCCGCGCACCCGACATTCCCCTCTCTAGGGATTCGAGCTAATCCTTCAGCTCACATGACTCCGTCCATCCAAGCTAGCTTTTTGCCACCTCAGACAGCGAACTAAACTCATACTCTTTTTACTTAGAAGGTGACCCAAAGGTGTTTCAGCTCCCTTTCAGAGAGAACTGCAAATTATAACAACCTACCGGGCGTGAGGTAAATAAGGGGCTCGGCTCGACCCACACTCATCCCGTTTTCTTTCTCCCGACCCTGAGTCTCTCCTGGGGTCCTTAGTAGGCTTCAGCGCGCCTGAAGGACCCCGTCCTCCGGAGACGCCTAATCAAGGGGAGATTAGGAAACAGAAGCGCTGATTCTACCTTCGTTTGTGACTAATCAAAAGAGAAATCAGGCAGAGGCGGCTCCTTCGTCGTAGCTTTACTGGCGAGGCAGGCTCGAGGTAGGTTCGAGGCAGGCTCGGAGCAGGCGGCGCCGAGGTTGCCCCGATTCCCGACATGCTCCGCGCAGGGGCCTTCTCAGCTCCTTTGCTGTTGCCGCCGCCTCCTCCTCAGCCGCCGCCGCGGTTGCTGGGGGTGGCTGAGAGGAGGAGCAGTCGCCGACCCGGTGGAGTCAGTCTCTGTTGCTGTTTTTGCCCGAAGAGTCTTCCTTCTTACGTCGCACCCTGAATCCCGTGGTGTCGAGGGGTAGTCCCTACGGACACCTCAGCACGCAGTGGAGATGCCTCTCTTTGCCACCAACCCCTTCGATCAGGATGTTGGTAAGTGATTTTGCCGCTCCCTGGCCATTCCTCACCGGACCGCAAGCCCCCTGCCCGCTTCTCGGGCCCCCAGACCAAGGCCGAGCTCTTCCCCTTTCCGGAGGCTCCTTCCTTAAATGTTGGGGAAAGGTTGAGGGTTTAGCGCGTCCTCTTTGAGAGAAATAGGACTCAGCGAGCATGTGAGAGGGCCCTTGAGCTTGGACTGTAGGTTTACGAGAGAACGGCTTAAGGGGTTGGTATAAAGGGCCTCGGAGGCGCAGCTGGTGTAGCATCTGGTGCTGGGACTGTGTTTCTGGAAAAACAGCGAAAGGCTGAGGCGTATCTAGGCTAGAATAGGATTATAAACCACGTAACAAGTGTTTTCCAATGTTAAAGCGTTTGGAAGTGGCAGAATGTTTTAGGTAAAGTCCCTCAGAGGATCTTAAAATCTCTCATAACGGTAGTTGGCGGAGAGCTCTGATCAAAGATAGACTTTTGAAAATGTTGGGAGGGATGAAGATGAAATACCTGGCAACAGATGAAACCTACGTAGCTGAGGACCTGCGACTTGGGATGCCTTTCCTGAGCTAGGGTCTCTGCACTTTGAGAAGTGTAGAAGAGGACCTTGTATCTGGAAAGGTGTTTGAAGTGCTGAATTTTTGTTGGAGTTAGGTACTGATCGTATCAGTCCAGCAGGTTAGCTTTTTATTTTATTTTTTCTGGCCTGAAGATAGTAATTATGGGAATTTGAGTTTCTGGGAAGAGGATTTTGGAAAGATTTGAATGCACTCAGGAACTACATTGGCACACGAGTGTGGAATGAAAGCTAGTCAAATGCCATATCCAGATCTCTTAAGGCAGAATTTAATATTTAGTAAAGCAATATGCAAAGACAACCTTGTGGAGTTACTTTATATGTTGTCATATATTTTAACTGTAAAAGGTAGGTGTTGAATTTTGCTTTCTTAACTTTTCTTTACAGCATGTCACTGAAGGTTGGAGGTTTGGGTTAAGACTAGAAAAGTCTCTGCCACTTCCTAGCTCACATTGAAATCCAGGCCAAGCTTTAAATTCTTGGAGTTCAGTGTCCTCAGCTTTCAGGAGGGGAAGACACGTTATTCTGTTTTGCGATTAAATGAAATAATATGTGTAGAGAGGCTACTACATTGCCTTTGTATGCAGGCACTTTGTAAACGCTAACATTTTTGTTCCATTCATTTTGTTTAAATGAATGTCCTAAATCTTAGCATGGCAAGGAACTTTAGGGATCATCAATAAGATTTAATGAATAATGAATTGAAAATTACACTTAATAAGCACATAGCACACACTGTTTACAGGGCACGGGGCTTGGGGACACAAGACATTCAGTGATGAACAACATTTGGTTGCTGCCATCAATAAGTTTTACATCAGTCTCTGGGGAAAATGCTTAAATAAAACAACTTCTTAACACTTCTTCTATTCCTACCATGTTTGTGTAGTTTTCATGGTCCTGTGTAATCTAGCTACCAACTACCCAGTCACCTTTCAATCCTGCTGACTTTTGAACACATATTTGCATTGGATTCAGATAAATTTCTTAATGCCAAACCTGTTCCTAGTACCTACACCACCCAGATCAGACATAGTTCCTTCTTGCCTTTATGCTTCTGCTTCTATTATTTCTTCTATCTTTCAACATATCCTCATGTTTTAAAGCCAGCTCAGAATTGAATTCGTCATACCAGAATCATTTCTGCTTACTTTTGTCAAGAGTTTTTCAGTAGCAGCATTATTGACAATAAGGACAGATAATTATCTTTGTTATAGGGAGTCTGTACTCTACAATTTGAGGTGTTTAGCCTCATCCCTGGGCTTTACCCATCAGAAGCCAGTGGCACCCAATTCCCTGTTGTGATTTTAAAGATCTTTGGACGGTACTGAATGTTTCCCAAGCGACAAAATAGCACCTAGTTGCTCTATCTACTAGTTCATTGTAATTTCCACCCTTTTCCAAAGCCTACGAATTATTTTAGCATTTTTTGTTTTTACCAAATTATTTACCATTAAAGATAGTTATATCCTGTTTTTTGTTCCTTAATAAGTGGTTGCTACATAGTAGGTGCTTGATAAAGGGTTGTTGAGACTGTTGGCATTGAGTCTGGCAGACAGTAAGCTTCTTTCTTGAGTGTAGGGAAGTGCTTTTTGCTCCAGAAAAGCTTACTTTTTAAAGTTAGGTTTTGGTATTTTGATCAATTTTCTCTTCACAATTCATGTGTCAGAATATCATGAAAGATTAATCTAGCTAAGAAAACTCTTCAGAGATTCCCAATAAATCATCCTTGAATAGAGTCTAATAGACTCCTATGTTAAATTTTTTATAGCGTATAGAATACAGTACGTAGAATACACTTAACAATTTTCTTTCTCACCTTGCCTATCAATGTGTGTGTCAGTGACATAAAAGTAATTCCACCAACTCTTTTGGTGGTTTTTTTTTTTTGAGTCAGAGTTTCACTCTTGCTGCCCCAGGCTAGCTAACAGCAACCTCAGACTCCTAGGTTCTAGTGATCCTTCTGTCTCAGCCTCTTGAGTAGCTGGGACTACAGGCACCTGCCACAAGAATGCCCAGCTAATTTTTCTATTTGTATTAGAGACAGGGTCTTGCTCTTGCACAGGTTAGTCTTGAACTCCTTAGCTCAAGGGATCTTCCTGCTTTGGCCTCCCGGAGTGCTGGGATTACAGGCATGAGGCACCACACCCAGCCTCTCATTAGGTGTTATTATATTTGTGCCTTTTCAAAATTAATTGTCCTCAGCTTTGTTCATATACTGAAACTGAATTAGAAATCCACTGACTGATTTATCCCTTGAAGAAATGCCTCAACTTGTTACTAGAATGTGAGCTCCATGAGGACAGGAGTTTTTGTTTGATTTGTTCACTACTGCGTCCCTTGGATGTAGACCAGGGTCTAATGATGGTGAACATGCAGAAAACACTCACTGGAATACATGCATTTCCTTTTGGACCTCATATTCCTTCTAAATTCTACTGTTGAATTATAAAGATAACTCATTCCTTCTGGTTTTTATTTTATAGTCCTTAGTGACTCTGTCTTGCCAAATCCAGTGGTCAATTTCTAGTCCATTTCTTTGTTGATCTCTTAACCTACCTCTTTGATATAGTGTACAATACTTTATTTGTGGGATTCTAGGATATCACACTTTATGATTTTCTTCTTAGCTCCTTTTTAGTCTTTTTTGCTTCTCCATTTTCCAACTTTCAAACATTGAATGTCCTGTTGCTCAGTTTTAGAATATGTTCTTCAACATTTTTTCCCATGGTGTCTTAGGAGGTAGCTTAGCTTAGTGTTAAGAAATTAGACTCTGGGCTCGGCGCCTATAGCTCACCTGGCTAAGGCGCCAGCCACGTACACCTAAGGTGGCGGGTTCGAATCCCCAGCCCGGACCCGCCAAAAACAACAATGAGGGCTGCAACCAAAAAATAGCCGGGCGTTGCGGCGGGCGCCTGTGGTCCCAGCTACTTGGGAGGCGGAGGCAGGAGACTCGCTTGAGCCCAGGAGTTGGAGGTTGCTGTGAGCTGTAATGCCACGGCACTCTACCCAAGGGGGACAGCTTGAGGCTCTGTCTAAAAAAAAAAAAAAAAAGAAATTAGACTCTGAAACCACACTGAGTTCAAATTCTAGATTTGCTGCTTATCAACAGTGTGATTTGGGGGTTAGTCGCTGAAGATACTCTGTGCCTCATTTTTCTTGTCTTTAATATGGAATGTAGGGATAATAGTTCTTAACCCAGAGGATTGTCAAGAGGGTTGAGTTAATATTTGTAAAGCACTTAGAAAATTTCTGTGCTTTTTATTTATAAAGTAAGATTAAAAAAGAACTTCATCTGACTTCTTCTTAGCTTTGAATACCATATGTGTCTGGTGACTCCCAAATGCATATTCTTAGTTCTAGTCTCTTGCCTGAGCTCTAGACATAGACATTCATCTGGTCAGCATTTCCACTTATCTTCTGCTTGGTGTTTAAAACAAACACGTTAAAAACTCAAGTTTTAGTTCTTTCCCCAAATCTGCTCATTCCTCCATCCTTGCCCATCTTGGTATACATATATGATGCCATTAATCTTTCCGGTCACTCAGCTCTAAAGTCTCAAACTCTCCATTGCTTCTTCATATACCTAGACATTTTGCATTCATTCTGTCAGCAAGATCTTTTGTCTCTACTTTAAAAATAGATTGAGAATCTCATCATTTGTCTCCATCTCACCACTATTATCTTACTTCAGTCCTCATTATCTTTTTCACAGACTATGACAGGAGCCTTCCGGTAGGCTTCTTTGGTGCCACTCTTGCCCCTACACTTAGTTTTCATTTAAGAAAGCCAGTGATCTTTCACAGATGTTAATGTCACTTACCTGCTCAGAACCTTCTAGTAGCTTCCCATTCCACCTAAAGGGAAATATTTTTTTTATTGTGCTCCACAATCTGGTTCCTTCCTGTGTCTCTGACATGATTATGATCTCCAAACTCTCTCTCTTGCATTCCATGCTTCATGAATCTACACACTCCAAGCTCATTTCTGACTCTTTGACTATATTTTGCTGTTTTCTTTCACTGGGATACTCTTCTCCCAGGTATTTGAAGGTCTACAGGTCACATTCTGGAATCTGTTCAAAAGTCAGTTTTTAAGAGAAGCTTTCCTGAATTACCTTTCGTAAATAATAACCATCTTTACCCCCCCCTCACGCTGGTTCTTTGTTCCATTTTATTTTTCTTTGTAGTGCTTAACTATCTTAAGATTACTTGTCTTGTGTTTTGTGTGGAATGTAAATACCATAAGGATGAGAACTTTTCATTTCTATCTCTGATACTTTAGGGATAGTTCCTGGTATGATGTAAGTGCTCAATAAGTATTTATTGAATAATGAGTTATTGATATTTTTCTAGATCTTTAGTATTCTGTTATCACCTAAAAATACTCATCTACCGATAAGATTGGTTCAGGAAACTGAACTTAT